GTTTTTTGAGACAGGGTCTCACTATGTAGCTGAGACCGACCTAGAACTATGTAGCTCAGGCTGATCTCGAACTCAGCAATCCTCCTGCCTCAGCCTCCCCAGTGCTGGAATTACAGGAGTGCACCACCACGCCCGGCTAGCTTTCATCTGTCTTGATGAGAAAACTCAGGCTCAACAAGACATGGTGGTGCACACTTACAATCTCAGCACTTGAAAAGTTGAGGCAGGGGGAATCACTGTGAGTTCAAGGCCAGCCTGGGCTATATGACAAATTTGAAGCCAGCCTGAACCGAGACCTTTTCTCAAAAACAAAAAAGAAAACAGGCTCACAGTTCAGTCACTTGCCAAGATCAGCACCAAGGACTGGTGATTTTGAATTCACATATCACCTGCAAACTTGCTTCAAATGGAGACTCACTTGACAGAGGACTGTCTTCTTTTTGGGGGGTGGTTTTTGAGACAGGGTCTCACTAAGTAGTTGAGATTGACCTGGAACTATGTAGCTCAGGTTGGTCGCGAACACAGCAATCCTCCTGCCTCAGCCTCCTGAGTGACAGGCACGTGCCACCACGCCCAGGCTTGACAGAGGACTGTTTTCCACAGCACCCTCCCTCCCAAGAATCTTGACTTCTGGGCTGGCAGGTCAGAACTTTCTTGATGGGCAGAAGGTGGACACAAACAAGCCTGGAGTCAGGAAGGAGTGTCAGGGGCAAAGACCCAGCCAGAGCCATGGCTACAAATGAAACACCAGTGGAAGCAGAACTCTCCTCAAATGCACCTTCTGATAGTCAACTGTTACGTCAACTTGAGTAATATACGCCCCACTGACTGGATCAGCATAGTTCTGGGTGTGAATGGCATCGATGGGCTTATAACCTGAATGGGCTGAAAAGGGGAAAGAAGGACGTCTCCCTTCGGGTTTCCTCAGAGCTCATCTTCACTTGGGACTATCTCCAGGCTTCCAGTTCAGACCCTTCAGCATCCAAAGTGACCCTGCAGGGGCCGGGGATTTAGCTGAGGTTCCACTGCCTGCCTCACAAATGCAAAGAGCCAGGTTTGATCCCCAGTACCAAAAACAAAGGGACTATGCAGTGAGCTCCAGGTCTACCACCTCTGCATCATTCTGCTCTCCGGCACAGACAGCCCTTGTGCACCTGACTCTGCAGGCGGCTACCGTAAGCTTGCCTTGTAAATATGTTACTGTACTGATACCGTCAGAGCTGAGCTCTTCTTCATCACCCAGGAAGCCCCACCACTTCACAGCAGTTTTATTCTCCTTAGAACAAAGCATTTGATATTAGCTTGTGTATTTTATTCACCCTTACACACCCTATCCCTAAAACAGTATTTAGCACCTAATAAGTACTCAGCAAATATGCTGAAATTTAAGTGCTTTCCAAGCGCCTGGTAGTGTGTGTGTGTATGCGGAGGGAGAATATGCAAAGCTCGTCATGGCATCAACAGAGACCTTTTTTTTTTTTCTTTTTCTTTTTTTGGTACTGGGGATCGAACTCGGGTCTTTGCGTTTGCAAGGCAGGCGGCGGAACCACTGAGCTAAATCCCCGGCCTGAGACATTCTTTTTTCCACGGCAGTTTTTTAAAACAGTGTATCATTTTGTAGCACAGGCTGGCCTTGAACTCATGCCTATCTTCCTGCCTCAGGCCCCGAGACATTCCTCTTTATTCAGAAGAAAATGAGGCTCAGGAGGGATATCAACTGCCTGTGAGAGAATGGAGTTTCCGGAGTGGGAACCAGGATTGGCTGACCACACATCACAGCCACTATGCCTGCAGGTCCCAGTATGCAGGTGAGATGTTTCCACTTCACTATCTGTAATAACACTGAATTACTGAGTGAAGACGGCACTCCCTTTCTTCTCTCCTTCACCCCATACAGGGAGAAAAGCTGCACTGGATGCTGTGTATCTTCATCACTTCTAACACTGACATTCCTCTTTAATGAAAAGTAAAACAGGACCAAGAGTGGGCTTGGAACCTTGGCAGGAAACAGTACCTGGTCAGAATGAGGTTTCCTTTAAAGGGGGCATCCATATACAGTACACAACCTACCTAACTATACATGGTCGTTCTAGGTTTCTATTTCCTATCCTATTAGAGACAAAATATAAAAAGTTTTTGTTTTGTTGTTTTCCAGTACCAGGAATCGAACTCAGGGCCTTGCGCGTGCCAAGCAGGCGCTGCGCCACTGAGCTGACAAAACAGAAAATTATCAAAGCAGTAACTGTGGCTTGGGTTTGAACAGTACTACTACACTTATTATGTATTTTCCCAAAGCTGCCAATTTCAAAGTGCCAAGAGGTCCAAAATCCCAGGATGTGATGATATAGAGGGAAGGGAACCATGAAAGGCAAAGAAATAAAACAGACAAATGATTGTGAAAAACCACACCTCAAAAAACACTTTAATTCCAGCCTAACAGCGCCAGGTGCAATGTCTGGGGACAGACTCTGGGTACAATGCTGTGTGGCGACCACGCATTCACACACGGCTCCAAGAAGGCCCCCAGAGGGGGACTTACCTTAAGGGACAGAGCCAAAGAGGGGCAGAACAAGGGCAGGGGCAGACCTGGGGATAAGGTGCTACTTCTTGGCAAAGGAGATCTTCATGGCGTTGTTCTGAGTGATCTTAAAGCCCTGCAGGGCATCACGAGCTGCTCCTGCTTGCACCTCATTGTCAAACTCCACGAAGGCGATATCATGCCGCCCAGGCACCAGGCGGACTTCCTTGAAGCCAGGGAATCTGAGGAAAGAGCGACAGACCTCAGAGACCCAATGCAACATTTGTCCCTAGCACGTTGGCACCCAGTAGGGAGAGGACAGGGATGCTGCTGCCCTCCCTACAATGCACAGGAAGGCCCTCGTAACAAGGGATCACCGCACCCAAAATATATCTAGTGCTAAACTGAAACTAATGTAAAAATCTTACCATCCCTGCAACCACAACCTAGATCAAGACCAAACCTTATCCTCCCATCACAGCTCACCTCTGCATCCAGGAGGAATCAGTGTTCACTTTTATTGTTGTTGCTACTGTCTAAGGTTTTCAAGACAGGGTCTCACTACGTAGGCCTGATTGGGCTTGATCTCCCGATCGCCCCCTCTCGGCTCCAGGGTGCTGGGATCACAGCACGTGCCACCATACTGGCTCACTGCCCACTTTCATGACATGTTGTTTCCTTAATTTGCTTTGGCTCATTCCTTACTCCCTTCTCCATTATGCAACCCTCGTGTTTACTGGGCACTTGTTTCTACCCTTAACTTCATAACACATGTACTGTTTTGTGAATATGTTACACAAGTAAGTCGTTTTTCTACTTTATTTGGTCTGGCAAAATTTCCTGGCAGCCACATAAATAACCATCCAGCCAGGTATGGGGGCATGCCTTTAATCTTAGCACTAGGGAGGCTGAAGCAGGAGGATCATTTCTAGTTCAGGGACAGCCAGGGCTATCATAGGTTCAATGTCAGCCTGAACTACATAACGAGACCCTGTCTCAGTGAGTAAATAAATAGGAATTTCTATAGGACATTGATCCCAAGTACAACTACTGGGCTGGGGATATAGCTCAGCGGCATAGTGCTTGCCTGGCAAGCACAAGGTCCCGAGTTAGATCATCTATACCAAAAAAAAAAAAAAAAAAAAAACAAAAGTAAACTACTAGGTGGACCCACCCAGACCCATACCCTCCACTCCAGATCCTCTGCACACAGCCCCGCCTACCCAAGTTCCATCAGCAGGGCATAAAAGTTCCTGTATCATTACCTCCCACACATAACACTCTGAACATGCTCATTTCTGCCAGTTTGCCCAGTGTTTGATATCTCACTATTGTTTTACATATTCCATATGTTCCATTTTTCTCCATTGAGGCGGGGGGGACTGGGGATCGAACTCAAGGACCTTGAGCTTGCAAGGCAGTCACTGGAATTGTTTATTTAATGGGACAAAGTCTCTATGTAATTCAGGCTGCCCTTGAACTTGCTTGCAACCCTCCTGCCCCAGCCTGCTGAGTGCTGGGATTACCGGCATGCACAACCATGCCTGGCTCACATTTTTCCATTTTAGAGACTAAAAAAATGAGACTTAAGAGCCTGGACCACCCCCCAACAAAGGCTCATGAAGGCCAGCATGCCCTCGCCACAATAACCTTTTCCACCTTACCACATCCCCCACAGGCATAGGCACAGCCACAACTTCCTGTTCCTCCTCCCTTTCATGCGCAGACACTGACTGTCCCTCCTGCCAAGGCTGAGCTGGCTCAAGGCTCCCAAACAGAATTTTAAGGCCCACTCCCATGGTGACATGTTCTGGACATCACTCCCTGGCCTCATCCCAGCCACAGCCCCCACTTACTGGTTGAAAAGCATAGACAACATGAGCTCGTTGGTCTCCTCAGGCAGGTTGGTGAGGAACAGGATGTGATTTGGTGGATTCTCCGAGAGCTGCCAGGAAGGGAGGGCAGCCCATTAGCAGGTGCCTAGCAGAAGATCTAGGTGCTGTCTTCTGCTCAAATTCCCTCCCTCTGCTCGGATATCTAGCATTTCCACCACTTGCACGTTGCCAGGCTACCTGCCCTCCCCACCCTCACACACAACAGGCCACAAAAGATTTGACGTATTTCTATTCTGGTCACTGCAGTATTCGAGGGCAAAGCAGAGCCTGGTACACGTACAAGAATGTGCTCAGTAAGGAATGAATCTAGATGCTAGCTACTGCTCCCACGCCACCACAACCTTCCAGACCTCCTCTCTACACTAGGGCCCACTCCACTGCTATCTGCTGTCCTCTCAGGACACTACTGCAGTATCACCTTCTCAGAGGACTACCCAGATCACCCAATCTAGAAGAGCCCACACTGTTAGTTCCTCTCTAATTTCACATTCCATTTATGTGAGGCCCCGAGGTGACTAGACACTTACAGGCTGGGCAGGTGGCATCTGCCCTGGCATAAGCTGCTGTGGGGGCATGGCCCCAGGGGGAATCTGGCCCGGTGCAAGGCCTGGAGGCGGGATCATGCCAGGAGGCGGCATGTAGGGCGGCTGGCCAGGCATGTGGTGCATGATGCGGGGTGCCTGAGTCATTGGTGGCATGCCCTGTGGAGAGAGGGGACAAGAATGACACACAGCAGGGAGGAGGGGAGGTCCTGGTCTCCAAAAGAGACAGAGAAGCAAAGGATGTTAAAAAAAAAAAAACCCAAGTGATGACAGTGGAAAGATGAAAGACCCAAACTTGAAAAAAAGGCAATAAAGTGTGCTGAGTGGAGCAAAACAGACCTAGGTTCGATGGGGACATGGAATCCAAGACTGCACACACCTGTAACCCAGCAACTGGAGGCTGAGGGAGAAGTGTAAGTTCACACCTAGCCTGAGAAACTTGGCAAAACTTTCTTTTGAAAAATAAAAGGCCCAGTTCAAGGCCCAGTACCGCCTCCCAAAACAGAAAGTAACAAAATAAAGTTTAAGATATTAAAAATTAGAGTGTCAGGGCCTGGGATTTAGCTCAGCAGTGTTGCCACCTGCCTCGAAAGCGCAAGGTCCAGAGTTCAATCCGTGGTACAAAAGAAAAAAAATTAGAGTTTGATCTAACTTTGTTTTAGACATATGAGTAAAAAAAGAAGACTGGAGAAAAAAAAAGAAAGCTAAATTAAAGAAATATAAACTAAGACACATACTCTACTTTTGCTTCTAAAAAATCAAAGGCTAACTAAGCAGGGCAAAGTAATGCACACTTATAATCCCAGCAGTCCTGAGGCTGAGGCAGGAAGATCCCCACAAGCTTGAGGCCAAGCTGGACTACATGGAGAGACTGACTCTCTCCAAATCAACCAATCAATCAATTAATTAATGAAAAGCCAAAGAAAGAGACCCAGAGATCTAGGGAGAACAAACGCAGTGAAGGATTACTGATGTAGCTGAGGGGTAGAGTGCTTGCACACGTCTCTAGGTTTGATCCTCAGCACTGCTGGGGGAGGCGGATATAAGTTAAGGCTGAGGATTTAGCTCAGTGTGCCACTGCCTGCCTCACAAGTGCAAGGTCCTGAGTTCAATCCCCAGTACAAAAAAAAAAAAAAAAAGAAAGAAATGGCTGTCGACAAGAAAAAGTGGAAAGACAAGTCTGATGGCACACAGAATGACCAGAGCCAGAATCCCAATCAGAAGGGTTAAATGTGGATGAAAGGGTAGACACAGGAGACAAGAGCGCTAACAAAGAACGGGGAAGCCCAACAGAAATGCAGGCATGACTGTCAGCTCCAACAAAGTGAGACACGGAATGGGCCATAAAACTCTTCTTGAGAGTCAGAGACATGGAAACTCAAGAACCGGAGGAGTGGGTCCAATCCACTCATCTTTTGTACTTAGCACTCCCAGTTTTCTTCCAGAACCTTTAGTGTCACACTCGGATCTACGAATCAGCTCAAGTTACTTTTATTTTTTTTTTTGGTGGTTCAGGAGATCAAACTCAGGACCCTGCCCTTGCAAGGCAGGCATGGCACCGAGCTAAATCCCTGGCCCTCAAGTTACTCTTATATTCAGTATGAAGTAGAACTAATTTTTACCCTTACAGATCCAATGGCCCATCATTAACTTAGGAGAAAAATCAGTCCTAGTACTGTTGTACCTTGATCATACATCAAGTAACCGACATCTGTGGTTGTTTCTAGACTCTGTCCTGCCCCGCTGGACCATCTTCCTATTCTCATAGCATTAGCACATCATCCTGACTGCTGGAACTTTCTATTCTCACCCACTGCTGAGGGTGCAGATCGCTCCAGCAGTATCTATTACTTCAGTGCTGCACACCTGTGCACACTTTTTGTTCGATTTATTCCTTGGTGCTTCTTTTTCAATGTGAACTGTTTGTTCCTAATACACAGAAACAACTGCGATTTTTCATATTGATTTTGAATCTACTGACTTTTTCAAATTAAAGTTATTTATTAATCCTAAGGGTTAGATTCTCTTAGATTTCCTACATGGACACTGACTTTAAAAACAAGCAGCAGGGCCAGGGATTTAGCTCAGTGGTTACGACGCCTGCCTCACAGGCGCAAGGTCCTGGTACCAAAAATAAGACAGGCAGTAAAACCAAGGCTGAGGAAAGAAGCCAGTGCACAGACATGAAGGCAGACTTTCAGAAACATTAAGTAGGGGAAGAACAGGCATTTTGAGTGGAGACACAACCATCCAGCCATTCAGCTCCCCACCTCCCACAAGAGAGACATATCTGTGAGGGACGGAGAGGTCCTGAATCCCCACCCTGCACTCTGCCAGGTCACGCTGAGGGAGGCCTGGTGGTGAAAGCAAGTGTCTCCGCCCTCGCTTACCGGGACAGGGCCCTGGACAGCTCCCACTACTGGAGCAGCTGCCCCACCCTGCACAGCCTTCTTGGCAGATGGCGTCTCCTGGCTCTTGGGCTTCCTCTTCTCCCGCTTGCGGTCCCGCTCCACAAAAGTACCCTTCATCTTGGCAATAATATCTGAGTCAGTCTTGGCATACTGGATGCGCTGTTAACGAGAGCACAAGGATTAGGGGATGGAATTCAGAGCCAAATTGCATGGGTACAAAAATCAGACCTTACCAGGAAAAGTACTGACCTACTATGCATGATGCTCTGGGTTCAGTTCCAATACTATTTTAAAGAAAGTAGAAAGAAATCACTTGGTTTTTAACTTCCTCATCTATCAGGTGGAGATTATGAAATTTCCCATTTCAAAAGATTACTGTCAAGTTGCTGGGCGTGGTGGTGCACGCCTGTAATCCCAGCACTCAGGAGGCTGAGGCAGGAGGATCAGGGAGGATTGCTGTGAGTTCCAGGTCAGTCTCAACTACATAGTTAGACCCTGTCTCAAAAAAATAAAATTAAATTAAATTAAAAAAAAGACTGTGAGGGATGGGGATTTAGCTCAGTGGTTCCACCACCTGCCTTCCCAGGTTCGATCCCTGGTACAAAAAAAAAAATCACTGTGAGGGTTAAATCTATTTAAAGTACTCAGAATAAATTTTGGTATTTTCCAAAGACAAGACTACCTGAGCATCAGACCAAAGGCAGAACCTTGAGGAGGCAAAGCTAGTACAGAACAACTATGGAGAGAGGCTCTGTCCAATTCACTCGGTCAGCCCTTTGTGGAGGACCCACCGCTGCCTGGCTCCATTCTAGGCTCTGGGAGAACAGACAAAAGCCTTGCCAAATGATACTTTGTCGGTGTGAGAGGTATGGTAAATGAATAAAGCATGAAATGAGGAGGAGATGTGAAGTGTTGAGAAGTGAATTTTTCAGAGAAAATGGCCAGGAAAGGGCTCACAAGGCAACGTTTGTGCAGAAGCACAAAGTGAAGGGTGGAGTGAACTGTGAGAGATCCTGGGGTAGAGTCTATAGCAAAGGGAACAGCATGCAAAGAGCTAAGGCTACATGGTGTGTTCTGGAAACAGCAGTGAGGCTACGGGATGAGAGGGAGGGAGGGAGGAGACAAGGTTACAGAAACAGGGGACCTTGGTGAGGGCTCTGTCCTTCCTAGGAAGCTGAGAACTACGGAGTGCTGGGGGCAGCAGAGTGATGGGTTGGTTCTTACTCACGTCTCTAAAGGAGCACAGTGCTATGGTATGGAGAATGAGCAGGAGTCCAAGCGGGGGCGAACAGCGCACTGCCATCATTCTGATGGAGGAAGGTGGTAGCTAGGACTAGGCCAGCAAGGAGGTATGAGATGCAAACAGCTAACAGATATTTTGAAGACAGGGTGGACAGGACTCTGACAAAATTCACACATACTTAAGTGTCTGATGTGCTCCAAGTAGTTATGGGAGCGGGGGACCCAAAAAGACTGGTTTTAAGACAAGGTCTCACTATTTAGTTTAGGCTGGTCTCAAACTTGTAGCAATCCACCTGCCTCAGCTCCCAGAGTGCTGGGATTATAGGTGTGTGCCACCACACCTGGCTAAGGTTTATGGTTTTTAAACCTCAACGTCAATTCCTATATGCTTGAGAAAGGCATCTGGAAGATGTGGCAATGCCAGACTGCTGTACCCAGCGGTGACAACAAGTAGTACACAACACTCTGTCTTCTCTGGAGGGAGGTGACAGGTATCTGGCTGTTCCTGGAGCCCCCTGCCCCCACATAACCCACCCCAGGGAGTTGATGCAGAAGACATATTGCTACCAGGTGAAACTAAAAACTGATTGGGGCAGTGAAGGCCCAAGATCCCTGTCAGCACCCCACCAGGCATTGTAGTTCAGAGCAAAGACACTAGCCACTCCTCACCTCCCACAGCATGCAGGCTCCTGGGCATCCACCTGGCCTCTGGGAACCTCTGCAACACATCCTCTCCTCAAACCCTACGGCCCTCCCTGGTCCAGACCCAAACCCTCCCATCTCAAAGTATGATCCAGCCTCATACTGGCAATCCAACACTAAGCCCCCTCTTCTAATCTGCTCTACCTAACAGCCAGGGGCATTCCTTAAGTCCTCCCTCGGTTCCTACCACTCAGAATTAAGTCTACTTCAGGACAACTACTCCTCCTCAGCCCAGTATTCATCATGCAGGAGGCGATGCTCTCCCAGCACCTCCTCCTATATAACTTGATGGATTTCCTTCAATTCTAGGCTTTGTTATCTCTGGGCCTCAAGGCACAGACTCCCTCTGCCTAAAAACACTGTCTCTCTCCTCCGTAGCTAAGTGTTCTGCTCCTTCAAGTCTCATTGTTTTGTTTTTGTTTTTGTTTTTGTTTTTTTGGTATGGGAATCAAACTTGGGTCCTTGTGCTTGCAAAGCAGGTGCCAGAACCACTGAGCTAAATAAATCCCCAGCCCTTCAAGTCTCATTTGATGCAGAAAGCCTTGCCTAAACCCCAAACTGGGTGAGGTGTCTCCCCTAAACTCCTCAGCTCTCTCTGCCTTCCCTCATCCCAGTCCGGACCCCTCTGCCTATCCATAGGACTATGGTCTGCAAGGGCAGGGCTTGGGGATCATTTAGCCACTGCATGTCCCCACGCCCCCCATTCAAGGAAAAGTAAACACCATGGATCAGCAAAATAAAGTACCATCCGAGGGTATTAGACTACAGCCGACAGGAGGTTCAGGCCTATCCAGGCTCCTGCAGCACACAAACACTCAAAGGTGCACATATCCACAATCTCCACACCCACTATGCTCACCATGGGCTTGTCGTAGAAGGGGAATCCTTGCATGGAGCGCAGAGCGTTGGTGGCGCTGCTGACCTCCTTAAAGATGACAAAGGCCTGGCCCCTCATCTTCAGGCTCCGTGACACCAGGATATCCAGGATCTGGCCAAACTGGGAGAAGATGGCATACAGGGACTTCTTTAGCTCTGGAGTTGAGGAAAGAAAAGACCAATGGTGTCCAGAAGCTTTGGCACTGTAACAGGGATTTAAGGTCCTGTTTTCAGAGGAAGTAAACCCCAAATAAGAGGCCACCAAGCTCAGGATTTAGGATTCAGTGGCGCCATGCCTGTCTTCTAAGCGTAAGGTCCTGAGTTCAACCCCCAGTATGGGGAGGCAGGGGGAGCCAGCCAAAAACAGAACCCAGAGTGCCACAGGTTAGTAATCTCTCAAGATCCTACAACAATGGGAACAGGCAGGAACTACTCAAATGGTCAAGTGTACTCTTCTACAAGACATGGACAGTCACAGTATCTATATGAGGAACATAAGTACCTATACACAAAGGACTCAGAACAGCACTTGCCACATAGTAAGTGCTTAATACAAACAAGCACTTTTGTTGTTTTGGGATGAGGGTCTCACTAGGTAGCCCAGCCTGGCTGCCAACTTGTAATCCTCTTGCCTCAGTCTCCTGAGGACTTGGAATTACTACCAATACACAGCTTACATTTCTTTCACTGCTATCAGCACACTGACACAGGCTATATTAATGTGGTCCTAGCAGACTTCCCCAAACTTGTCTGAGCCTACACTCCACCTCCATCCATTGCTGAGTGGCACTGTACTCTGTTCCCAAGCCCAACACAGCACTTCTGCCTCTAGGGCCTTTGCACTAGCTGTCTAGTTTTTCTTATTTTGGTACCAGGGATTGGACTCGGGACCTTGCGCTTAGGCAAGGTAGGCAGCGGCACCACTGAGCTATATCCCCGGCCCACCAGCTGTCTTCCTGACCTGGAATACCCTCCTCCTGCTGTTAACCTGGCTGCCTCCTTCTCGTCACTCAGGTCTCAGCAGATACACTGTCATGCCAAGAGCCTTCTCTGATCATCATGTTGTATGTCCCCCTCCCATGTCCTCACCCTACTGCCTTTTCTTCATTACACTTCACTTCCTAACATCATACACTTTTTACCATCTCTCCTGAGGAGCTGTGAGTCCACCTGATTTGTTCACCAGTCTCCTCACGCCTAGGGCAGACTCCCACACACATGTGCCCCCCCCACAAACATTGAAGAATAAAAACAGTAAGTGCTGGACCAGGGATTTAACTCAGAGGTGCCGCCACCTGCCTTGCAAACGCAAGGTCCCAAGTTCAATCCCTGGTACCAAAAAAATACAAAGTGCTTTATAAAAAAAAAAAAAAAAAAACTCACTAAATCCTCACAACCCAGCAGTGGCATCACTTGCGGTCCCATTTTTACCAAGAGGGAAATGGGCTCTCAGAGGATGTGTCACTGGTCTACAGAGTATTCTGAGGGTGTTGGGAAGGACATGGCAGAACCAGATCTACAACCCAAGTCTTTCTGAATCCTGGACCACAATAACACTACCAGCAAACAGCCTCACTTGACAGCAAGTGGGATTCAAGCTAAACAAAGAATACCTCTAACCATCGAGGCCTGAAAAGAATACCAACAATTTATACAGAGAAGATGGCTGAGGCTGGGTGGCACACTAGGGAGACTGAGGCAGAAAGATTGCTACAGGTTCAAGGCCAGCCTGGACTACATAGCAAGATCCTGTCTCAAAAATCAAAAACAGAAGGTGGCTGAGATGCAGGTGCTTAATGAATGAGACAGTACTACAAAAAGGAAAGAAAATGGACGTGAGGGTAATCTGGCTGCAACATCTGTCACCCCACTGATTGCCAAGATTGATTCAGCTAAGCTGGTTGCCTAGGCAGGTGTCCCCTTCCCCCTCACAACTCCCTGTGCGTCCCTCCAGAAGATGCGTGCAGGGGTGAAGAGGAAGACAGAGGAGGACCATTTCCTCAGTCAAGGGGATACGAGCAGCTGAGCCTCCCTGCGCGAACCTCCAAACAAGCTCTCAAGGAAAGGAAATGTGTATGTGTGTTGACTGGGGGGATAAGGGTTAAAGGTGGTTTTTTGTTTCTTGTTTTTTAGGGGCTTTTTGGTACCAATGATAGAATTCAGGCCTCGCACCTGAGAGGTAGGCAGCAGGACCACTTGAGCTAAATCCCCGTCCCTCAAAGGTGTGTTGAGCAATTAGCCAGTAATTCTTCTGGTGTGAACATATCTGGTTTTTTCCTCCGTGTTCCTCTTCATCAAAACCAGTCCAGATCTCAGTCATTCCCTTGGGCTTTGGACCTTCCCCCCTCACTTTGCAGCCTCCCCTCTTGCCCACTCAAAGACATTCCACAAGGGACACAGTCAGGACAGGGGAGCAGCATGGTTTCCCAACACCTTCAGAACAGGCCCATGAGGCCCCGTGAGCCATCAGTGTTCTGCTCATTGGAAGCTTCACCATTTACATTTACACACCCTGGCCCAAACAAGAACAATTTCTTCCTGGGTGCAACAGTGTATGCCTGTAATCCCAGCTACTTGGAGGGCAAGGCAGGAGGGTCACAAGTTTGAGATTAGCCTGGGCAATTTAACAAAAGCCTGTCTCAAAAAATAAAAACGGGGACAGGGGATTTAGCTCAGTGGTTCGCCGGCCTGCCTTGCAAGTGCAGGAACCCAAGTTCTATCTCCATACCACAAAAACAAAATGTTAAAAAAATAATAAAAGCTGGGCATGGTGGTGCATGCCTGTAACCCCAGCACTCGGGAGGCTGAGGCAAGAGGATCGATGTGAGTTCGAGACCAGCCTGGGCTACACAGTGAGTTCCAGAGCAGTCTGAACTACATAGTGAGACCCTGTCTCTAAACCTGGGGTTTAGAAAATAAAATAAATAAATAAAATAAATAAATAAATAAATAAATAAAATAAATAAATAAATAAAACCGGGTCAGGGATTTAGGTCAGTAGCACTGTACCTGACTATCAAGTTCAAGGTCCTGAGTTCAATCCCTGGTACCATCAAAATAAATAAAATAGACAAAAGGGCAGGCCAGGGATTTGGCTCAGTGGTTCCGGTGACTGCCTCATAAGTACAAGGACCCAGTACCAAATAAGTAAATAAATAATAAACAAAAGGGCTAGGGACATAGTTCAGTGGGTGTTTGCAAGGCCCTCGTTCAATCCCCAGTATCTACAAAATAAAATTTAAAAAATGCACAGGTGCCAGGGATTTAGCTCAATGGTACAGCCACCTGCCTTGCAAGCACAAGGTCCTGAGGCAGGAGGATCACCGGGAGCTCAAGACCAGCCTGAGCTACAAAGTGAGAACCTGTCTCAAAAAACACTTTTCTACCTCATAACATAAACATAGAATTAATGCTTCTTCTGCTCAGAGGCTTTTCCAAAATGTCTCTTTTCTATCAAGTCCAATTAATGTCTTTCTAGATAAGACTCCCAGTAGCAGCGTGGCCACTCTGCCTGTGCTTCCCCATCATGGCCTTAACTACTCTAGGCTGCCTCTGTCTAGGAGTGCAGGACCAGGGCTCTCAGTCATTAATGTGCGTCCATGGCACTAACCAACTCTGGCTAGACACCACACTCTAAAACCACATGCAGAATTTACATTCCTGGTCTTATTTTCTTCAACAACAATTTAACTAGAAACCTCAAATTTAATCCCAACAAGTTCCTCTGGTTCTCCTAAGTTTTCCTGAAGCAGTAACAAGAGCTAATATTCATTCAGCCCTCATTAATTGCTGAGTGCCATAAAAAGCACAACATGAAGGTTTAGCTAATCTGGCCCACCACACACACACACACCCCTGTAATCCTAAACTTGGGAGGCTGAGGCAGGAGGATCACCTTGAGGTTGGGGCCACTTTAGGCTACATGAGATCAAGGCCAGCATGAATTACACAGCAGGACCCTACTTTTCTTTTCCTTAATTTTATTGGTACATTTTAGGTATACATTATGATCACACTCATCATTGGGAATTTGTACCTGTACATGATATATGAAGGATCCTATCCTGAGAGTAAGAAAAAAAAAAAAAAAAAAGACGTGAAGATGTGTGTGTGGGATTATGACTTTGTCCAGTTTTCAGATACAGAAAATTAGGTTCAGTAAAGGTGATAAATTACTCAAGAAAATGAAAGAGTCTTTCTGGTTTCAAGACTTGAGTTTTGTAGCTGGGCGTGGTGATGCACCCCAGTAATCCCAGCACTCGGGAGGCTGAGGAAGGAGAGTCACTGTGAGTTAGAGACCAGCCTGGGCTACATAGTGAGTTCCAGGTCGGTCTCAACTACATAGTGATTCATTTGTTTGTTTGTTTGTTTGGCAGTATTACAAACTAAACCAGAGTCTCAAAAAGAGCTACATCCCAGCCTTTTTTATTTTTGAGAGAAAATCTTGCTAAATTGCCCAGGCTGATACAGAAATTGCCATACTAGCCTTGCAGGTAGCTGAGATTACAAGCGTGATCCAAAGAATCGCGTTCTTGGACCAGGGATTTAGATTAGTGGTTCTGCTGCCTGCCTCACAAGCACAAGGTCTTGAGTTCGATCCCCTGTACCCACCCCCCACCAAAAAAATTAAATTCTTAACCAGAATTCCATACTTGTGATCTCAACCACTTTTCTTGCTCTGTGACCTTGAGCAAGTTACATCACCTGAGCCTCAAATTTCCTAATCTCAGAAATGGGTATAATAGCACCCCCCTGCAGGTTTGTGAGAATTAAATATAATCAAGATGTATAAAAGTGCATAATTCTACCCCAGAAAGCACCTAATTATTACCAGTGCACACTTTCCACTACCGGGTGATCAGTGAGCACACTACAATGACCAAGTCAGCCTCAAGTTTCTGGCCCGACAGAGTTCACAAGCCAGGAGGAAGACAGCCCAAAGACAGCAGAAAGACTGGGCTTGATGGGGTGAAGTCTGGGAAGGGTTTCTAGAAGAGGTTCTGTGAACTAAAACGCTGAAGGATTACATTATCAACAGTAACCAGACTAAAGAACAGGTGTAGCCTGGCGTGGTGGCGCACACCTGTAATCCCAGCACTCGGGAAGCTGAGGCAGGAGGATCGCTGTGAGTTGAGACCAGCCTGGGCTACATAGTGAGTTCCAGATCAGTCTCAACCACATAGTGAGACCCTGTCTCAAAAAAAGAACAAGTGTAAAACGAACTAAGGGCGTGCTAAACACATAGGAAACCCTATGTACAAAGGCCAAGGAATTAATTCTAGCAGTTTGGCTGGACGGGGTTGAGAAAGAGGATATATTAGCGGTAGAAAGAGGCTTCACGCAGAGCAATCAAGAATCTAGACTATCCCCAAAACTCACCATCTTTCTTGATCTTCTCATTGAGGTTGTTGATATAAATAGTGTGGTTGGGGCGGGTCTCGGGAACTGCCATGGTAGAGCTTATAGGAGGAAAAAAAAAACGACTTTAGCCGAGTTTCTCCAAATCTGCTGTTCCAACCCTGGACCGGCTAAACTCAAGGATCTTCCTTCCCAGAGAAGGTCTGGTAATACCAGAGTTTAAGGCGGGAGAAGCAGTTTGGACAACAAAGCGTGCGTAGGTTTCCGTTTCTCCCTCCCGCGTGCTGAGAGAAATATTCACCTCAATACAAGTCCCAGGATGCCCTACGCGGCGGCCTGTAGGCGGGGCGCCCCGAAAGGCGATCTCATTGGCCCACGCGCCCAAAATTGGGGGATGAGAAAAAACCCGGATGCGTGAGCCACTTAAGCAGGCACATATTTAAGGCACTCCAACCTCGCGCAGCAATAAAATTTCTCCATACGTGCCACGGGAAGGCCCGACTTCCATGCGTGAAGCTCTACCCACCTTCCCGGCATCACCAGCAGCCTGGACCTGAGGTAACTTACCAACAGGGCTGCAAGTCCAGACAGTAGCGCCAGCTAAGTTTTTCAGACCAGACCACAGTGCTTCCTTTCCCGGCCCCACCTTTATCTTCCTGCGAGCCAATCCCCGCGCGGAAATTCGGTAGGTCGACCAATCAGAGTAAGTTTAAATTTACCAATCCAAACGCTACTTGGATTCCCGCCTCAGTGGTAAAACCCCGCCCCATTGAGCACGTCGCTGGGCATACGGACCAATCAGCGAAGGTCATGAGCCTCCTACCAATCCCAACGCAACTAGCGTCCTTGTCTGTTCCGGAGGCAGTTGTTAGGAAGGCCCACCTCTTTTCCCGCAGTCGCTTGTCTTCTGTCACGTGATCGCCAAAGGGGCGGGCTCGCGCTGACAGTTCCCCACCGGGGGATGTGGGAAAGGTGGTGTCTGGGCTCCGCCATTTTGCACCGAAGGGCCGTACGTTTCACTTCCTAAGCTGTGTTTTCTTTCCTTCCCCGCTTTGTGGCCGGTCCTCTTGGCCACAGATCTCGGAGCCTTCTCCAACTCACAAACTTTTCCGGTTGCCGATTCTAGGATTTTATCCACAACTAGGCCATTTTCCCTTCCTGGTGTCCTTTTTGACCTCTTGACCCCTGGCTCAAAGGTCAGCTCTAGGGTTCATTATTCGGGTGTGGGATGTGAGCGGGGACGAAGTCTAAATTCTTTCCATCTCTAGCAGATAGGCTTCTAAGCCTCACCCTCTAGGCACCGCCCTACAGATCTGAAATTGACCCAGGGAGATTACAAATCCAGTCCCAAGAGAATGAGACAATTCCTACAAAATTTCCCTTTCCTTTCCTAAACCTCCGACCGCAACCAAACCCACCGCAGCCCCTCCCCAAACCACAAATCTGGTTCTGGGTTTAACCACCCTGTTAACCCTCAGATTTCTTGTGAATTAGGTGGCCCCAGTTCCTGCTCCTATGGCTTCAAATTTTAACTCTTAGTTCTTTCACAGCCACTGCTCAGCTCCCCAGTTGTGGAACTCGGTTCTAAAATCTATATCCTTGTGACAGAATCTTTGGGGAACTCCTCCCTTTTCCTGTTCTTAATCCCTCAACCCCTTCTGAAGGCCCCAAAATGACTTCTTTATGCTCTGCTCCCATAGAATCCTCAGTCCCTCCTCCAAGAACCCCTGCACCCCAGCCCCTCATTTCACCTCCTCTACTCCCAAAACCCTTGGACTTATCTTTTCCACTGACTCCCTGTTGCCAAACCCCTATCCCCCCGCCACCTCTACCTCCTCCACCCCCTGCCATGCGGGCTGCTCCCCCTCACGTCTATGGCCTGGAGAAGCACCAGCTCCTGAAGGAGGCCTTGGAGAAGGCCGGCCCAAACCCTAAGGGCCGAGAAGATGTGAAGAGGCTCCTGAAGCTACACAAGGACCGGTAGGGTCTCCCTATCTCCCACTCAGGGTCTCACCAGACCACCTGTCCCCAGGAACCTTCAGCCATTTCTTCTCAGGTTTCCCATTTTATGAAGTCAAACAAGCAATGACTTCAGTCCCCTATCAGTTGAAAGATTCATCATCCAGGTGAACTTGTAGGTCTTGTATACGTGTGCCTCCTAGTTTTATTAAAGGCTGAATTAAGGGATTTTTGTTTTGATTTTCACATTAATAGTTGTTTTTTGATTTTTTTTTCCAGTTTTTTTTTTTACCATATATATAGTTCCGTCTGGCCTTGAATTTGCTGCATTTCTCCTGCCTCAGCCTCCTGAGTGCTGGGATTACGGACATGTCCCACCACACCCTGTTTAACAAATTTAAAGGCCGGAAATAACCACTGAATTTAGGTGTAAGGCATCCCCTTGAGAAATTTCCTCAACTCAATTTGACTTGTCCGTGCAGAGTTTTCACATTTGCGCTTGGGCCTTCAATTCTTGAGAGTAAGAGCTGGGTTAGGCAGGCAATAGGACGACCCTCCCCCCATGCCTGATGAGGAAACTGAGGCTCAGGAAGGGGATGTGCCTTACCAGGAGACAAGTAAGTTAGCCACTGAGCCAGGAGCAGCCCTCTCCCCTCAGGTCAGCCAGGCCTGTGTTCTCCTCCCAGTCCCCGGGCACCTGCTCCCAGCTGGACCTCAGGGACTGTAGAGTTGTTCCCCTGTGACCCGAGTGTGGCCCTGCTTCAGGTTCCGCAGTGACTTGCAGTGGATCCTCTTCTGTGCCGACCTGCCGTCGCTCATCCAAGAAGGCCCTCAGTATGTGCCCAGTTTGGCTGCCCTTGCTCCGCCTTGCCTGGCTTCCTGAGACCTGAGTTAGGGGGGCAGGAGGAGTGTGCTCATCCAGTGGCCTGGGTGTGTGGGACTGCATGGGGCAGGGGTGCTTCCCACATGAGAGTGCTGGGGGGCCCAAGTGAGCCGGTGAGTGAACTCCAGAATGTGGACAGATGAGCCTGCTCCATCTCTAACTCTACTTGGTACCGTCTCCCCAGAAGCCTAGGTGACCTCAGTCCCCACCCTCCAGCTCTGGACTGAGGCCTAGGCCTTCCCCCATGCAGGGAAGTCAGGTCCCCCCATCTGACCTAGGGGAAGGGAGGGAACTTGGTCCCCCACTCCAGCTTCTAGGATAGAGGAGCCCCATAAGGGGCTGGGCCTGTCTCTCCCAGGTGTGGATTGGTGGCATTGTGGATGGCAGGCGCTCTCCTGTCTCCGCCCAGTGGCGTCCCCCTGGAGACACTTGTGCGAGTGGCTGTGGACAGAGGCTACACGGCACAAGGAGAGATGTTCTCCGGTGAGTTGGCAGAGAAGGGCCTCAGTTCCATTGGCTTCTCCCTGGGATGGGGCTGGAGGGGCCGGGTGAGGCACTACAGACATGTCAGGGGGTCTCATTCTCCAAACGCATGCTGAGCCACTGGCCAGTAGGCCAGAGTGATCACCTGGTAGAGTCTGGAGCCAGGCTCCCTGGGTTCCAGATCCAGCTCTGTCCCTCACTGTGGCCATGGACAAACAGCTGACCCCTCTGCCCCTCACTTTCTGCATTGTACCTAAGCTTAGTGGCTGGGCTTGGTGAGGGTTAGAAACATAGCTCCTGCTCAGCCCTGGCACGGTGCTGGGCAGCCAGCGAGCCCTCTCTCTGCGTGTGCTCTCACCCAAAGTGGCAGACATGGGCAGGCTGGCCCAGGAGACAATGGGCTGTCAGACTGAGCTGCTTCGCAGTGGCCTGGGCGGCCCCAACAGAGACCTTGTCCTGCATCACCTCATTACTGGACATCCCCTGCTCATCCCGTATCCCAGGGCTAGGTTGGGAGCGGGGCAGGCAGGGGAAGAGTGGGTCTCAGTTCTGGCACAGTTTCTGCCCTTAACACTAGCACCAGCTACGATGAAGACTTCAACCATGAGCCATGTAAGAGGAAGGGCCACAAGGCCCACTGGGCAGTCAGCGCAGGTAGGTTCCCACCTTCCCGGGGTCGCCCCAGTGCTCTTCAGCCCTCTTCATATTCTTAGCCTTGTGCTGGTGCCTGCACAGCCAGACCATGCACAGACCAAGGCTGGGCCACCTCTGTCCCCACAAGGTCCTTAGCATGAGACCTGGCAGGCCACAGGTGCCTCAGTTTTCCACCTGATACGGTTTCCACAAGCAGGAGCTCAGAGCAGACTGGAGGGCCACATAGTTGTTTCCAGCCCCAGCCTAGTCACTTCCAGACCCTGTGACTCTGGATAAGTTTCATGTCTCTGGGCCTCTGTTTCCCATCTGACAATTAGTACCCACCCCATAAGGCAGTCTTGTTTGTTTGTTTGCTTTTTTGTGTTTTTGTTTTTGTTTTTTGATACCAGGGATCGAACTTGGAACCTTGTGCTTAGGAGGAGGTGGCTGGCTGTTTGTTTGCTTTTTGAGACAGAGTCTCACTATGTGGTTCAGGCTGGCCTTGACCTGGTAGCAATCCTCCTGCCTTAGCCTCCCCTGAGTGCTGCGATTACAGGCGTGTGCCACCATGCCCAGCTCATAAGGCAGTCTTACAGGCGGAGCTTGTAAAATTCCTAGAACATTGGTTGGGACATTACACATCTCGGTAAATATCAGCATTGTCATCATCACTTACCTGCCTGAAAGAAGGTCAGCTCGGTACCCATCAGGATACCACAGCAGAGATTTGCTCAACCTCTCATGGCTGTGTGGCCTTGAAGACTCCTTCCTGGGCATCTTATCCCTGGACAGCTGGTGATGATGGTGTTTGCTCACCTAATGCCCCATCTCCATCCGCCTGTGCTATGGACTATAAGGCTTAAAATGCCTGCCACTTCCCTGCAACCAGGGGCCCTGGTCCCCTCTCAGCCCCACGAACTCGTCTGTAAGGTGATGATTAAGACAGCTTCCACCCTGGAGGGCCATAGGGCGCTCCAGCACCTGTTGGTGGTCCACATACCTGCACTCATCCTCTTCCCTCTCCCTCTCCCAGGTGTCCTGCTGGGAGTGCAGGCTGTGCCAAGCCTTGGCTATGCTGAAGACCCAGAGCTGCCTGGCCTCTTCCACCCAGTGCCCAGCACACCCTGCCATCCACCACCCTTGCCCAAGGAAAGCTCCTCAGGAGCCATCTTCCTTCTCTGTAAGCAGGGAAAGAGTTGGCACTACCAACTGTGGGATTATGACCAAGTCCAGGAGAGCAACCTGCAGCTGACAGACTTCTCGCCCTCTAGGGCTGCTGATGGGCGGGTGTACGTGGTGCCTCCCGGGGGGGTGCGGGCCGGCCTCTGTGGCCAGGCTCTGCTCCTCAGACCATGGGTGTCGAGCCACTAGCTGGGGCACCTGCCTGCAGCTTGGCTTTGTCACCATTTGAAGAGTGTCCCAGCTTTTCCCCCTGCGTATAGGCTGGATCCCCAACCCGTCCCATCTCTACCCTGAGCATCTGCCCAAGCCGTCTCTTCCAGTATTGGTACTGACCCCTCTATTTCAGGAGACACTGGTGGCAAGCAGACCCTATGTCCTATCCACCTCCCTTTCTGGGGTCTACGTCATCTAAGTCACTGTCACCTCATTAGATACCTGCAGGAGGCCACCCACCCACCCACCCAACATGCTGTTCTGCTCCCAGGACAGGGGCTAAGCCTGTGTTCCTCTGCTTCCCTCTCCTTGGCCCAAGTTCTTCTTCACCCTCTGCTTGCCTGCCTGCCATGCTGGTCTCAGGTCCCCAGAGGCCCAGGCTATGCCCTAGCCCTGTGCTAAAGATCACTCTTCAACTTCTCCATGTTGACTCAGGATCGCTTCCTCAGAGAAGAAGTCCTCAGCCCATGCTGCTACCAGTCCTTTCAATTTGTGGTTTGAAGTATGGTGTCATTAAACTGTAGGGTTTTAAAGCCCGTCCTAGAGAAGTTACCTGTGCAACCCCCTTTCCAACAATTCCCACCCCAAACAGGAAGACCTGGATTCCCCGTCTTAGAACATCTGTTGCACAAAATCCCTGAGACCTCTCCACAGGATTCTGAAGTCTGAGACATCGGAGAGCATGGGGATGGCTTTCTTGTATCAGTAAGAGCTAGCTTGGGTCTCTCTTCCTCTTACAAAGCCACTGTTACCTCAGAGCTCCACCCTGGTGACCTCAACTAATCCCAAAGACACCTCAGAGGCCCCACTTCCAGACACCATCAGCATGTGAATTGGGGGAGCCAGGTTTCCAACAGATGAACTTTGGGGAAACTGTCACATCCTAGCACCCGTCCCCCATTTGACGAATGACTAGATGGAGACCTGAAGTAGTAAGGTCACTGGCTGCAGTCACACAGCTGGCAAGTGGCAGGATTGGGATTCAGAACAAGTAGCCTCTGGCCATCAGCCAGGCCACTATGTGGACCCCTGAAGCTCACGGCAGAGCGGGCCACAAACTGTTCTTCCCATCTGTCTATACAGATAAAGGTAGTTACAGAATGAATGGGATCCTCACGAGTAAGTACCAGGTGCCTCCTCCACGCTGAAAGGGAGTCTATCGGTCTCGGTCATGGCAGTGTTTCCAGTGCCCAGAAAAGGGTCTTGTGTAAGGACACTGTACCGTGTAGTGGTTCTGACCGATAAAGAGGAGATGTGACCCCATCTCAGCCTTGATGTGTTGGAGCTGTCCCAGGAGCCTGTGAGGACAGGGCTGGGAGCCATCTCATTCATCGCTGTCCCAAGTTGTCCAGCAGAGACTCAGGGACAAGAAGAGCAGCTGAGTGAATAAACAGCTGGCTCTGAGCCTGCCTCTCTGTCCCAAAGTGATCGTTATCCCATTAGACCAGCCAGTACTAACCCCAGCTACAAAGGAAACCACACCAGCTTTGAGTGTTCGCTTTATTAGGATTTTGTGGGCAGAAGGCACAGTGAAGCCATTTGCCTCATGCTCCCCCAGCGCCCCATCTAACAACTACCTCACATATTTATAAATAAGTATAAAGATCGTCAGTAGAAAAGGAGGACATTCCTCAGCCCCGGAAGACAAGGTTAGAGCTTCAGTTTGGGGAAGAGGTAGATGCCAGTCCTCCCCGTACCCACCCTTTTGGTACAGGAAGCCAAAGTTACGGGTGCCAGAGCACTGGACTGAGCATCCAATACCATACCCCAGGGTTCTGGAGTCTGGTTTAGACCAGGTGGCAAGCCCAAGGTCACAGCCAGCAGTTAACCCTCAACTTGGCACTTTTCCCTGGAGGAGGACTCTGAAATGCGTTGAGGTATCCCCAGCAAGGCAGCTCTGATTTCCAAAGAAACATGCTTCCCTGCTTGGGAAACGTCTGCTGCAGCAATCCAAATAGCCCAAAGGAGACAGAAAGGCCAAGGGCTCAGGGACGGGAGGAGGAAGTCCTGAGGTTGGATCTGGTGCACCAAAGAACAAGGTACTGGTCACAGTGCTGGCACCCAGCCTGGATATGGATGTGGTTTGGGTCTGCAGCAGGTCCGCAGTCTCCTGAGGAAGGATCCCACCAAGCTGTGGCAGGGCAGGAAGGAGGCCACAAACCATGCCCCACCCAGGACGTCGGTCCTGGGCAGCGTCAGCAGGCCTCTCGTGTGACACACCCTCCACTTAGCACTTGGGTGGCCTCCAACAGCTATCGCGCTGTCCCTCCCAGGTGAACAGGTGGCTCCTGCACGTACTCACAATTAAAGCCTAGTACCTGAGGGACTAAGATGGACAGCCCAGGCCCTGAGCTCAGAACCAGCTGGGAGCCAGGGGGCACTGACAAGGCAGTTCTGGGTCATTCATGTGACCATGGGCAGAGTCAGGCCCTTACAGTAAACTTGTGTTCTCGGGGCAGCAGAGTTTGGCTGCAGCCTCTGGAGCGCTTCAGAAGCTTTCCTGGCTGGATAGGGGACCTGTGCTGGTTCCACTGGGTCACTGTAACCTCACTGGTTCCCTGGATCACGAAGGAGCCAGCCGCTGCCTGGTGTACCAAGGCCCTTCAGACTTTCCATACTGGCCCTGTACTACAGCTCAGCCTCTTCCATAGCCCACCTCTGGTCCCCATGAGATCTCAGGGCTGCTCCAGCCAGACTGGCAGCATCCTGTAACTAAGCCTGGCAGTGGCTGAGTGGGTCAACTCTGTGCCAGCCCCTGAAGGATGCAGATCAAGTTGTCCAGGCCCCAGAGGTACCCATCCTCACGGTTGCCCTCAGCCCAGGGCAATCGGTGGCTTAGCGTCTGGTGGTCAGGCAGGGCCACTGTCTTGCCAAAGTCGATCATCCAGACCTTGGCCAGGCCAGTGTGGTCGTGCACAAAGAGGAGGGAACTGCCAACCACCTGCAGGGGAGAGAGGGGCGGTTAGCAGAAGGCACAGGCAGTGGCTAAGGTATGTTCCCTGACGGAACAAAGAAGGCCTCTGCCTCTGCCACTTGCAGGTGTTTTTTGGGTAGGTGTTTTTTGTTTTTCTGATACCAGGAATTGAACTCAGAACCTTATGCTTGTAAGGCAGACAGAGGTGCCATTGAGCTAAATTCCAAGCCCTTTGGGCATGTGTTTGACCTCTTTGTGGCTTTGCATCCTCATATACAAAGTAAGAGAGTAACGGTAGCATTTACCCCAGAATTGCTGTGAAAACAAGTAGATAAAAAATTAACCCACTTAGCCAGGCAAGGTGATGCACACCTGTAATCCCAGCACATAGGACGCTGAGGCAGGGGGATCCAAGAATTTGAGGCCAGCATGAGCTACATATTAAGTTCAAGGCCAGCCTGAACTACATAGACCCTGTCTCAAAAAAAGAGGGGGGACTGGGAATTTAGCTTATCGGTTCCACTGCCTGCCTCGAAAGTACAAGGTCCCAAGTTCGATCCCTGGTACAACAATAACAACAAAAAACCACATAAAACATTTAAAAGATTCTAGCACATTAAAAATATATAACAAATGTTAACCATTACCTTTTGGTGCCAGGAAATGAACCTGGGACCTCTTACAATAACTGCACATGCTCTAACACTGAGCAACACCCTCAGCCCGTTACCATTTTTTCAAGCCAGGGTGCATATTCAGATACCTTTAGGATCTTGCATGGGCCAGGGAGTCTGGTAGGAGCTAATGAATTAGGTAATACCCTCCCCAGATAGGGAGCAGCATCTCAGGCCTAGTGGACTGATGCTGATAAATGGGGCAAGTAGCTTCCTTTCCCTGGGCTTCAGTTTCCTGTCTGCAGAACGGGGAGGTTGGCAGCAGCTCCTACTCCTTGGGGTCAGCAGAAGCATCCTATAATGCACCCACCCATGAAGTGCCTCCCAGTCCCTGGCATACAGGAGCCCTCAGTAGATGTGGTCTGTTTTGTTTGACTGTTTTTAGAATAGTTGTTGCCTTTCCTTCATCTGAGGACAGGTTTGTGAGCCACTCCCATTTTCTACAGCAGGTTTCAAACAGTGCCCCGAAACCCCAATGCCTCGGTGAACACTCAGGTGCCTGTCAAGAGCAGACACTGCGACTCTGGACACCACTGGCATCTGGGAAACAGCACAGGGTTGCCATGTCTCCCAAGTTAGCAGGGGAAACTAGAAATCCCGATTTGGTGTGGAGTCTCACATTTTAAATAGTGGCAACTGCAATGTTAGGTCACCAGGCAAAATATAAGACAGAAGAGATGGGGCTCCCCAGGCTAAGTCCTTCGTGACTTCACATGCACCCTGAAGGCAGTGACAAGAACAAGGGTGATAGCCCATGAAAAGTAAACATGACACTGACAGCTGGCATGCACTGATGGCTCACTGTGGGTGAGCCCTAATATATTAGCCCACTTAACCTTCACAACACTTACACAGCAGGTGCAACGGTCACCCATCCTGCAGGGGCCTCTCAGAATGGCTGTCCCGGGCACAGGGGGCTAGGGAGAGGTACAGCTGGGATTTGAGCCTGGGTTGGCCTGACTCCCAGCTCAGTGCTCTCTTAGAAGAGCCACTGAGACAGAAGAGAGGAAGGGGAACAAGACACAGTGGCATGTGCAGCTGAGGCAGAAGGATCACAAATTTAAGGCCAGTCTGGACTCAATAGCAACACCCTGTCTCAGAACAAAAATGAGGGCTGGGGATTTAGCTCAGTGGTTCCACTGTCTGCCTTGCAAGTGCAAGGGCCTGAGTTCGATCCCCAGTATAAAAAAAAAAAAAAAAAAAAAGAACAAAAATGAAATAAAAAGTACTTGGAGGGTTGGAGGGACAGACAGACCAGTATGGAGAGGAGCAGATGCACAGTGACAATGTCACCACTTCAAGCCTCATAGGGTCAGTTACCCAAGAAAGACAGTCTGGAAGAACTGGGCATGGTGGTACATGCCTATAATCCCAGCAATTGGGAAGGTGAGGCAGGAAGCTCTCCATGAGTTCAAGGCCAGCCTGAACTATATAGTGAGGCCCTGTCTCAAAAAAAAAAAAAAAAAAAAAAATGCTGGGAGCAAGGGGACAGGGGAGGGAAAGCTACCAAAGAAGTATATAACAATAACTATAAATAATTATGACCATAAAATAATTTTAAGAAGAGTTAGATGCCTTTGTATGAGGCTGAGGGTAGAGCCCAGTAGTAGAGTACTTGCCTACCATGTGCGAGGCCCTAAATTCAATCTCCAACACCACAAAACAGAAAAATATGCTCTTATATGCCCAAAGCATTGCTTTACAGTGACTCTCTCACATCTCAGCAGCCCTGAGAAAAAAGTACTGTTCTTCCCGCCCATGTCAGAGAGGAGGAAACTGAGGCCCAAGAGTGTATGTCACATGCTGAGGGTCACACCAGAGCCCACCCTCATCCCCAGGCCACCTGGCTTAGTCCGTGCTCCTGACTGGCCTGCCTCCCTGAAAGCCCCACACTGGGCCCGAAACACGGGCCTGCCTGTTATATCTCGGATCTGGGAGTCTGAACAGTTCCCCCTGTGCCGCCAGGACCTGGATCCCCTGCATACACACATGGTGGGTGACCAGGCGTCCTACCTCGTGGGTCTCGAAGAAGGGCGAGTTCTCCAGCGTGTCTCGAAGCTCTTCCAGGCGCATTACGTACTTCCTCTGAGTGTGAGAAGGCGGGGGGACTGGTCAGCACGGAAACCTTATGAGCCACCTTGAGCTCTGACCTCGCCTGTGCCCCAGAGGAGTGGGCAGACTCCAGACAGATTGGGATCAGGCAAGAAGTGGGGAAATGGAGGGCAGGAAGGGTGAGGGGCTGCAGCATTCACGGTGGCGCAGACAAGCGTAAGGCAGACAACATGAATACCCACAATCCTAGCAGTGGTTCCCATAGAGAGGCGGAGTCTATTTCCCCTCTTTTGAGTTGAGCTTGGTCCTATGCTGTGATCTTTGGCCAGTAGGACATGGCCACTGTTGTTTTACTTTTTTTGTTGTTGTTTTGTTGTTGTTGTTGTTGTTGTTTTTGAGTCAAGGTTTCACTATGTAGCCCAGGCTGGCCTTGAAGTCACAGCAATCCTCCTACCTAAGGCTTCCAAGTGCTAGGATTATAGGTACTCACTATCACATCCAGTGGTTATTGTTTTTTGTGTTTGTTTTTTTGTTTTGTTTTGTTTTTTCTGGTACCAGGGATAGAACCCAGGACCTTGCCAGGCAAGAACAGCACAACTGAGCTACATCCCAGACCTCTTTGAAACAAGGTCTCCTTGTGTATTCTAGGCTGGCC